ATTCTCCAGATGGCAGATTACTTGGGAGAGTTAGCACTTATCTACTTTCAATATGACCAGTAAATTAAGTTTAACCTCTGTATTATGGTGTGATTAAGAAACAATTAAATCTTAAAAAAATGAAGTTATATCCAAAAATTGGTACTCTAATATAAGTAGATATGTAAAGTTCCCATCATACAGCTCCCTCCCTCAACATGACTGAAAAGGAATTAATGTTTCCCATCTGCAGATCTGGGATGAAGCTAGGTTCTGAAGAACGAGCCTTTGGCCATGATAGCCTCAGTTGTTTGATTTTCCAGTCAAAGGAAGAACACAGTCATCACCTCAGAGCAGCCTCAACAACATTTGATTTTATGTAGGTACATTCTGTGGAAAAATTCTAGCCTCATGATAACAGTCAGTAAAATTAAAAACTTAAATGCACCTCAAATGAACCAGCCGTGCATTTGTTGCACCTGAAAAGCAATTTTCCTTTACCCAGAAACATGCTTTCAGCTTCTCCTCATTCTCTTCCAAATGTCCCCATATGCACCAAAGCCAACTTTGTTTCCAAATTTTAACTACTTTAAAAGGAATTAAGTGCAATCTGTCTATGGTTGTGTCCTTGTATCTCAATATCAAGTCTGTCAGTCTTACCTTTCCCAAATGCAGGTTTATCCATCTGGTAAACGTCCTCTTCTGTACATTTTCCCGTTCCACTAGAAATATCAGAAACAAAAAACAGCACTTCAGTTTCCAGAAGAGGAAAAGCTGACAGGAAATGTCAAAAACTGATGCACAAAGAAGTCAGAATTCATAAGGCCTGTGAACAAAACAAATACATTCCAAAACAGGAGATATAACTTTGAGCTATGGTGTTTTACTTAATTTGCTTGTCCAGACATGAGCTATACATACACTTGTAGATGCATTCTAAAGGATGCAGGAAGAAATCTCTTCCCAAAAAATCTTTTGCCACCTTCAGTGTAGCTTTTGAGAGGTGATCATTCACGTGTTGTGCAAAGCTCTCTAGTGATGCTGGCCTCTGAGCAGGCAGCTTGACCCTTCTATGTCAATTTATAGGATTATTGCTCTCACACCCTCATGCAAATTGGGCAGGATTCCAATGCACTTACTTGCTTGCACAAGGAAACAGATCACATTAGCCAACACAGCAATTTTGTCTTCATTCTTATGAATGGAAAAAGCCTCACCAAATCTCATCTTCCCAATATCCTAATTAGTGCTTTTAAAATCAAAACTCCAAGTCCCTACATTGAAGAATCATTTTACTTCTATTGAAATAAGACAAGGAGTGCTTGTTCCTTGCCAGAAGTGCTGTATGCTAGGTGCTGTACAAATAGCTCTTGGGCCAGCTGAAGAGTTTTTAATCACATGTGCCATTTCCTGAATCCATTTCCATAGTGAACTACAGCAAAAGAGGAAGGGGAATCATATTACTGACTAACTTTCATTTTCCTTCTAGTATAAAAGAGTAAGCCATATATTTAATATAAATTAAGTAGACTGACAAAGTAATACTTCATTTTAGAGACAATTATTCTCCAGTGGTTCTCAAATTTCACCTGAATTAAGGAAATCTGGCAATTTATGAACAAAAAAACATTACAAGTAGTTATATGCTGTATTTCAATTTACTCGCAGAGCAAATCAAATATATTTTAAAACCATTTTGTGTTTCTTCAGCCCTACAAAAATAGCTAACCTATCTACTGGGAAATCACATTCTGTACAAGTCTGGTTTGTTTTTATTGGTCAGACTAATTATAGGCTAAGTAGCAGCTTCTGTAAATCAAATTTTAATGTTGTTCTTTTTGATCATTTTAACTGAAGGATCAGCAGCCTCTAATCATATGTGTAATTGTTTTCCTTATTTTGATGTATTGGACTAGAGCTTTCAGCATGAATTACATCTGTCATTGATGGCCAGTCAGGCCTTTTAATCCCTCTTGTTCCTGTAAAACCTGATTCTATGTAAGTTTGGTTAAAAAAAAAAAGTCATTACCTCTTAAATGCTTTATAAAACATGGAAAATGCCAAAGTAATTATGCTGTTGGCTTTTCTGTTAAAATATCTTAGAAGAATGTGCACAGATTTGAAACAGCTCTCTACAAATGAAACTGTAAATTATAATAGGGTTCCAGAATATCTGTAAAAAACCCACAGCATTTACCACCTACAGATCTCAAAGCAGAATAAAGTAAGAGATGTCACATCTTTCTTGAGCTTCTCTTCCTTCAGCAACTTGACCCCTGAACAGGCTCTCCTTGCACTCACACAACCATCCATGTCTGAGCAGCAGAAGTGCTATGTGTTACCTAGGGTGTAACTTCTACAATCAAGCTGTTAAAATTAACTTTTGAGGGTGGGTGGAAGTTAATGTTAAGCCAACTCCATTCCCAGATATACTTCTTTTTATTTAAACACATGTACTGGTGCAAAGGGGAAGGCACAACAGGCACAGGAGCAAGCAGGAGTCAACGGGATCACCTCTTTGTTAAGCTTGTCTGAAGAGCTCAGGAATGCTCAGATGGGTATCACCATGTTTTGTGGAGGACAGGAGACCTTATCAAATGGGCTGGCTATGCAGACTTCCAGTGTTGACCAAAATCAAAGAAGAAACACAGAAGGGTACACAGAAGCAAAATTAATGTTTTCTGATTTCACCACAGCCTTGGTTGCAGGTCCTATTTTTCACCAGTCACTTTAGCAACCTTAATTTTCAGGGTAAATAGGGATGCAGAAGAGAGCTGTGGTTATTTACAGATCGTCCATAAAACTGAGCACACATTGACTCCTACTTTTGCTGCAGAAATTCTGCCATCGATGCATATTAAGAGTTGCACATATGCCCAAAAGGACGGGCGGCCCAAGCTGGTATTTCTGCTTCAGTAATCTCACACATCAAAAAAAACCAAAACAACCCAGGCACATTCAGGAAAACACTTGCATACATACACGCATTTCTGACACTAATCAGTGGATGTTCTTACAGCAAAAAGCCTCCTTCCAGTAAGAACAATGACCCCTGAATGAACACTGTTTGATTTTGTAATAGTTTAAAGCAATAATAACTGCATGGGGAAGAGGCACAGGGAGGAAATGTGTTTGTAAAATCCCTGAGGCAGACAGATCCCTAATGCAGTCAATATGCTTGATGGTAGAGTTAAGGGCAAAGTTCAGCACAGGTATTTACTGATGTGTGCCTTTAACTGTTGGCCTTCTCTAGCTTTATAAACCTCCCAGTTTCAGTACAGCCTCTCTTTTCCACAGGCTTTTTGTTTGTGATGATGTAGAGACTCTATAATTTTTACTAAGTTTCTATAAATTCAATGGAATCTTTTTTTCTCCTTCACACCTACTATTGTATAAAAGTAAAAAAAAAAAAAAAAAAAAAAAAGTATTCATGTCAAAAGTTCCCATGCTGATTGAGATAGTTTACTGAAGCTGCACTGGATTTACTGGGCAACTAGAGAGCAGTAACACCATTATAAAATAATTGCAGACACCATACGACTGGCCTGCACACAAATTCTGTGCTGGAAAAGAAGGGTGCCTGCTGCAGGGGTCAGATTCAGAGATGTAATGCTGGAAGGGTGTAAATGTTAGGAACTCCCATTTTGGTTCAGCTCAACTTGTCCTTGACTTGAGGGAATAAGTATAGAGAGAAATGTTGACCAGACTCTTCCAATAAGCTCAACTGCAACAGGCCTTCACAGTAGGGTCTAAGATGTTGCAGAGGCACAGTAGTTATTTCAAAGTACACAGATAAGGCACTGACAGGTATTAACAGCAATGATTTAGAGCAGAAGAAACATCTAGAGAAGGAAAGGTGCACTGGCAGGATGATAAGCCTGTTTTATAACCCACACAAGTTCTCTGCCCCACAGCTGTGTCCTAGAGGACAGCAGAATGGGGCAGAATTTGGCTCAACTACAGTATCTACACGCTAGTCAGATTGAAAATTAATATTCACAAGAATAGATATTCTGGTTTGTCAAATCTTATGGCAAAGGTAACAAATATGTCACAGAGTAAAACTAAACTAGTTCAAAAACTACTTAGGCAAATTCAAGGCTAAGCTGTTACAGACAAGAGAGTTTGTCTGCTTCCCTTTGTGGAACTATTTCCTTCCCCATCAGCCTAAAAATTCCTCAGGCATTTACTGCTAATGCCATTTCTTCCTCCTTCAAATCTCTTCAAAGGTCACTACTGTTGCAATACCTACAAGAAGCCAAGCCCCTAACAGCATCTGCATTTAACAGTGAATTGGAGATAGCAAATATTGATTTGCTTTTAAATACTCTTTATTCTGTTGTTGTAGAACCAGTTATGAAAAATCCTCTGAGGCACACCACCAGGGGGCTGGGCATATGAAGGAACTATGAAACGTGGAAGCTGATTTGAGTTGGAATACTCATCAGGGTGTAATTACACGGCCTTGGAAAACTGATTTGCATGTATGGATATAACTCCCAAAGCAAAGCAGAAGGTCACTTAAATTTGTTTCCAAAGCAATTAGCATTTCATCCAGGATATCATCGGCATCTGACATTAAAACCTTCATAACAAGCCAAGCTGGCTTTTAGCTCCACTTGCAACTTACCTTCAAGATATCTTGTTAACTACCAGTTTTTTAACACACACAAAAATCAGCTTCCTCATTTCTAACACAGGTTACAACCTCCATAGATACAAGGTCAACTTGTTAATAACATTAATCAAGTTTTCAAGACAGAAATGGCTATGTTGGCCACCTAACTGTGAAAGAGGATGCTTTGACTGCCCTTGGCAGAGGCTTCAGAGGCAGTAACTTGCCATGAGAATTGTCCTGTATCCACTTCATCAGTAACCAATGGCCACCAAAGAACCAGCTCATAACCTGTATGGCTCTGGAGCTATCCAAGCATCTGCCAAAGTCTTAGATAAGGAGAAAATGGCACTTCTTAATAAACAACACAAATATATGGCCAAATGTATAATATTCAAACACTATAGCCTAACTCCAAAATTAAACACGTAGTTCAGCCACCACGTGAAGTCTTGGGAAATGCAAATCCCTTTCCTTCCACCTTCTTCACCCCAAAACCACAGCTCATACAGCCAAGCAATGAATTGGTCTCTAAAGGGCACACACTGAACAATTTACTTTTGAACTACCAAAATTCCAGGCTACTAAATAAAATGAGAACTGGATTTTAAACTGGGCTTCACAGTGTTCCTACACTTGACTCAGCCTAGGTATTTCTCATGTCTAGTCATCATACTATCCAGTCTGAATACTGTTTTATCTGTAAACTTAATGTTCATGAAGGAAGCCAAACCGACATCTTAGAAAACAGATTTTACCTAAAATTGTTTATTTCCTGCCAGCAATGCTCCATGCTTGTGCTACTACATCTCAGACACTGAAGAGTACATTTCCAGACATGAAAGCCCATGTTGTTCTTACAGACCATCAAGAGGCTGCCAGCAATACCATTAAAGAGAACTTCTAAGGTTTTTAATTTAATTAGGTGGTTTTATCTTTGCATTGACTCTGATGGCACTGAGTAGCCAGGTTAAATTTTGGTGCCAAACGAGCAAAAAGAGGGTGATGTCTGACTATAATCTGCCTCAGTAAGTTACTGTATACAGCTGAAACATATGAATCGTAGCATGCCCGTCTACCTTTTTTTGCCAATATATAATATGCAAGTAAATTACATCTACCATACGGGTAAATAAAGCCCCATTAGTTACAATAAGTGGTCAAACATCAGATACAGGATGTTGATGTGAGATACAGGATATTGACAGCTGTAAGGAAACACAGATCCTTCTCCAGGTGACCTTTTACTGCACAAACAAAACACGTGGGACAAAGTTCAGATGCAAAGACAACAGACAGGCCACATGTAAGCAACATATGGAGCTGGGAAGGTGGATTAGAGGTGAGCTGCAACATAAAAAAAGAAAAAGGAGTGAGAAAGGGAGACTGGGTGAGGGATAGCTAGTGACAGCAAAATAAATGGAAAGTTTAAAATGAAATTTGTAAAGTAGGGCAGAGAAAAGTGCAATTGAATTTTCTACTTTTGCTTCATCTCAACACAGTTATATTAAACACAGTGAACTATGAACCCTCAGAGATTTAATATCTATTATATATTTTTACAAGAGGCTGAAAAAATACCTCATAAAGTAAGACAACATGTAGGAAAATA